CCACGCTCGAAATATTTTGACTACGAGAAGGAGCATAATTAAAGGTACTAAATCGGGGTTTTTACACACTTCTGAGAACATTTTTTTAAGCATTTTACAGATATATGCAACATTATAAGGACTAGTACAAGGCGAATTAATATAAGGTGATAGCAGGAGTACAAAAACAAAAATTTACATGTATTTTGTTTTTGCTTTGGCGGCATAAACTGTCAAAATCTGTAAGAGTATGTGTAGAAATTCAAACAAAATTTTTCAATTTGATATCAGAAGCCGTGCGGCGAAACACGTACACAAAATCAGCTGAGCTAATAACGCCACCTTATATAAATTCGCCTTGGACTAGTAGTTATAAAAATATTTATTCGTTTCGACAAATTTTCCAAATGCGCCTTCGCTTAAGATATTTTTGGAATAAAAATTACACTCAAGATCGAAGAATATTTTATCTTTACAGTTGGTTTATTCTGAAAGCACACCTCTTGCTAAGGTATCAAATTATACGTAATTGCTTGTAGAATACAATACATACATACTTAAAAAGTTCTTATGAATAAAAGCTTCAAAAACTATACGCAACAAACCGAAAATTTTGATAATGGTGAAATGTGGAGTTACAGACTTTGAGTTACTTGCCATTTCGTCATTTTTTAATGCACACCTTTCTTACCTACTACATATGAAGTATACACATAAGTGCTAAATGCCCATTAAATTTCAAATCAAAATATGGTGTGCTTCAAAAGTTATGACATAAATAATTTTGCTCCTCTTAAAAATTACATAAGAAATTCACTTGTTTTCATTATTATTTTTTATTCAAACATCTATAATTCAAAAGTTATGCAGCAAATTGATCCAAATTTTTTTGAGGCTTCAAGTATACGTCAGTGAATTATATCCAAAAGCAACCAGCTTAATCACAGCGCACGGCAATGCGCGTGAGTGACGAAAGCAGCCACAGCAGCATGTGAAATACCTCGCTTATATATACACGAGATTTGGAAATTTTTACCCAGACGTCCAATCGACATGTTTGAGATATCGTTGGAAAGGTCTTGCAGAGGACGTCCAGAAAATGTATCAAGCTTCATAAACGATTTACCAGATTCTTAAAAATTAGGCTAAAGTGTTGTGAATCAAAAAACGTTTTTTTGCTTTTGCCGGTTTAAGGGGGCATGTGGGTACACCCAACATATTTAGTGTTATTCTATAGGACAATACCTTTCAAACGATACCTCATAAATTAAGTTCCGGCTACTAGTTGGAAAGATATAGAGGTAAATGTGTTTTGGTTCGTGTCTCCACTACGATATGCTTTGGTATGTATGTGGCGTCTGTACGTACCTTCATTTAATTTTTTTCAAACTTTCAGGAATTGAAGTACAAAACAAAACTAAGAAGGTTTTGTTCCAGGATGTTTTGATTCGTATGCCTTTGTGGGCGTGGCTGCTGCCTGAAATTCGAAAAAAGGCAATTTTTTAAACTACCACTGAGGCCGCACTACTCAGTCCATGCCATTGGTGTGAAAATCAGTAGAAACGTATTAAAACTAGCTATCTAACGCTGTCTTTTGTGTTTATGGAATATAAATATGTCATATGCTGAAAATATGCATTTCTGGCTTTTTCTCAAAAACTGGTCAGTCGATTTTGTTCTATGTTTCCACAAATCTAGCCCAAAACCTTAGCTCTCATCTGGTGTACAGCTTATATCTAGGAAAACTCTTGTTGTGGAGGAGATATTGCGATTCAAATTGAAAAAATGTCAAATGGTTAAAAATTAACATATTCGTCTAATTTGGTTACTTTAAGATAAAAAAAAAATAACATACCCAGTTGCCCGAAAAAAAATTGCCAATTCCCCGATTGCCACTTAAACCGAAATTCCTTGCAAATCGGGGAATTTCCCGCGACTTGACAAGTTGAAGGATGCGGCTGTGCTAATCACTTCGTACATGGCTTGGAAACCACAATTTGTGTGTACTTTAGAGTTTTTTTCAGTCACATGCCGAAATTGTAATATTTTTTTCACCATTTTAATTGCAGGTATGTACACAATATGTAACTATGCTACATGGGTTTATCACCCGCACTTAACCTACCTGGGAAGACACATACAATATTACCTACATTTGTACATAAATATGTATGTATTGAATGCATTTAGTTCACCCAATGTGCCGCTACTACTTACATACATATCGTCCTTTAAAGTACAAAACCGCGTATCGGCATTCCGCAAAACCACGTAGCTAACATTCGCTGCCAAAAATTGGATTTGCTCACACAAACTCTTGGCTTAATCCTTATCCATTCGTCCTGAAATATACCAGCCAGAAATGCGATTGCTTTATAAAAAAGATAACCATTTTGAAATATGCGTTTTACGTTATCTTGATACGCGGTTTTGCATTTTGTTGATACGCGGTTTTGTACTTTAAACGACGATATGTATAAATTGCCGCTGAGCAAAACTACTTGAGAAAAAAGCATTAGTTTAATAGCACGAGTGCAACACCGTACACGTGATAGAAGTACAACTTTTTAAAAAAGAACATGTGTGCGCCCCACACCCGGTAGAAATCTTAACAAAAAGAAACTACGAGACAATCAGACGAATACAGTTGTTTATTGTATCCAAAGTTGGTACCAAGTTGATAAGTTTTTATCATTTCTCATAATTTTTTTTTTTATTTGTAATTTTTTCGAAAACAAAGGATATGACCATTCTTTTTCGCTTTATTCCGTATTCGAAAAATTATAGGTTTCAATGGACACATCGATTTGAATACATGATTTAGATTAAGATAATATTTTTAGCAATTTATTTGAGAAAAATAATAGATTATTGCTTGTATTTTCATCGATTTTCAATTTGGTACCCAGAAATAATTGATATCAAATAAAACACCTCTTTGAGGTAAAATTTTCGAGTGACGTTAGCTGAACTGGAAACACAAAATTTATGCAGCCTTATTCTGTATCATGAACGATAGGCAACACGAACGATTCGTCTGCAGAGGAATGCTCCAAAAATTATCCGGCGGCATCATTTTAGCCGTTTTAAATGCAACCGAGACCATTGCAACGTAATGTATGAAAAGCAAGACGAAGACGACCGATAGAGTTTAGAATCGCAATCAGAGGGGTTGTCGTCTGCAGACGAATCGTTCATTTTGCCTATCGTTCGTGATACAGAATAAGGCTGCATAAATTTTGTGTTTCCAGTTCAGCTTACGTCACTCGAAAATTTTACCTCAAAGAGGTGTTTTATTTGATATCAATTATTTCTGGGTACCAAATTTAAAATCGATGAAAATACAAGCAATAATCTATTATTTTTCTCAAATAAATTGCTAAAAATATTATCTAAATCTAAATCATGTATTCAAATCGATGCATCATGATATAAATTTCGTGACGAAGGTTATACGCATTTTTAACTGCCTTTGAAACGTACGGAATATCTTTTTGCATTTATTCGGAACGTTGCGAAATTCCATCTACTGCTAGAAACAATAAATAAAACACAGAACTTTTGCAACGATTCGTATGAATAAAAAGGATTTTCCGTACGTTTCCAAGGCAGTTAAAAAATGCGTATAATCTTCGTCACGAAATTGATATCATAAATTTTGTGTTTCAAGTTCAGCTTTCGTCACTCGAAAATTTTACCTCAAAGATGTGTTTTATTTAATATAGTTTACAACAGTGAAAATAAAGCTAAATAACACAAAGGTTACCTGTTTTTTGGATTTTCCCATATGCATTTAAAACAATAATATCTGATGTACAAGTGCGTTAAGTTTTATGTAAATATATATAGGTGTTTCTAAATTTTTGGCAATTATTTATTTGTACTTTATTTTGAACAATAATTAAATACAAGTTTTACACAATAACTGAATACATATTAGAAAAATAATAGGAATCAAATTTTGCTACAATTTAGTGATACAAATTACAATTTGAATTACATTTTCATACGAAATTGGAAAATGCAATTATCAACACTGCTTCCGTCTATCACAACATGATCGATTTTAGTTGTGTTTGTTTACAAATTATCCAGTAACTTGCCAGCAGCTCTCCAGTAACTTTGTTTCTAAGAATTCGCTCTCATAGAAAAAATTTCCAAAAAAGTACGCGAACGCAAATCCAGTAATAATTTGCAAGTTTCATGAACAGCTGATAAATTGGTTGTTTATTCGCAGCAAATTCCTAATAAAATAATATATTTTATATTTAAATGGTGCTATTTTGTGAATTTCAGGAATAAAAACCCACAAACAGTTCCTTTATTAGTTTAAATTTAATGAAGCAATATGCGATCAGCTGTTTTTCATACTGACAAATTCTTACAAATCAAAATTTATCAAGTAAAATCCAGTAAAAACTTGCAACTTCAACCGTCATTTTTCGCTGTCTCAATTTCTCCTAGTTTGCAAGTTTTGCGTACGAAAACAACAAAACAAGAAAATTCGTGAAAACTTTTACTGAATTTTACTGGAAATGAGTAAACAAACACAACTTTTGTTTCTCGTTTTCCGATCTGGGGACAGCTACTTAACTTCCTTAATATTTTTATGCTGGAACCTGGTACTAGGCTACGGAGTCTCTCGTCCACAGCAAGTCCAACACTGAATTTGCGTTTAATCGCATGTTTTGGATGGCGGTGATGTCAGTCTTTGTCTTTTCGAGGACATCAACTAGCCGGGCATAGGCACCTATTACATTGCTATTTTATTGTTAATTTTTAGATTCGAATAGCCGAATATCAACGCTCTATTCGCATAGTCGGATTTTTTACTCAGATATTCGAAAATTCGAATATCCGCATAAAACTCCCAGCCTTAGTATGTATCTTATGGTTTTATACCAAATTTCTAAGTCTCGCATGCTTTTTTTCTTAATTTTTGCACTCAGGAAAATAACAGTTTTTTATATAAAGTATATACTACATCTTATCAACTTTTCGTCGTTTCCTTGTTCTTGCAGAATATAACGACCCCAGGACAACAACGTGCAATGACGAATCGTCAACGGAGTCGAATATATTTCCAACAACACCACCGTCAAATTACGATCATATGTTAGAAGAGGTAGATAAAACTTCTCTTAATTATAGTCACTGTTATTTTGCTAGCAAGCGCAAGTTTTAAGAAAAAATCCCAAACTGTTAAGGCTTCAAAATTTTTTTTTTAGTCAACTTAAAAAAAAAAATTATTAATAAAGCCTTTATTTTTTTCAACAGCTGAAAGTAATCACCCGTGAAAACGGTTCAAATAATGGACGTCGGGATTCCTTGAACAACTCAAGCAACAACATTCTTTTGTCATCGCTGGAGCACCTTTCCTTGAGCGATAATATTACCATTCAATGTACAGATCCCAATTGCCAAGAGATTTACATGTGCAACGAGCAATTAATGCTACAACGACAGCAAAATTCAACTTTAAACGAACGCAACAATTTCAATGAATTTGTGGAGCAATCGCAAACATTAGATCAAAGTCAGCTTAACAACGAGTTTAGCAACTCCGACGACGAGTGTGAAGACGACAATCGTAAAGAATCAATTGATTCGACAGAGCTTCTAATATCAACGAAGATGGCAGCGCCAATAGCAGCATCAGCAACACAGAACAACTCAAATTCTATGGAGAACGACTACAGAGGCGATTGTGAGCAATGCGAGACGGGTAATTACAGCGAGGAATGCACCGATGAATGCAACACCAGCAACAATGGCCAAGCCAATAATGGAATAAACAGCAATGATTTTTTTGATCCACTCATCAACCATAGAGGATATTGTAGTGGAGGTAAAACTTAAGTGGCTGTTAGACGTGGCAAGTGCAAGTCCTTTTCAAAAGTTTGTCAAACTCAAGATTTTCCAAAAGAGATTGCAGGAGCAGTTACACCTTGCATGTAAAGTGGCTTTCGAAAGCAGTTTTTTTATTTCTGAAAATTCAACTTTCCGATACAGCTTTTTGTATGTTTACACGGTGAATGCAGACAAGCCCACTTTCTACTATGTTATCAGACATTTTTATGTTTATAACAAAATTACTGACCTGAAAAATTGTTTAAAAATGCTCAAATGCACAAAACAACCACAAAGTATCTAATGCAGCATTTTTGCTGCATTTAAAATGTAACATTTAGCACTTTCGAACATATGTTTTTGAAGAGCGTTCATGCTATCACGTTTAGCAAATGTATATTTACGCGAGTTCGAAATCGTATGCTTTTGACAAACAGCCGTGTTCTAGTCGCTTATTCAGATCCGTACCTATTACGATCAATTCACACGCAGAAGATAATGTGCAAAAAACCCTATTGAAAAGGAAAAAATTTATTTTAAACCAAAAATTCAATACAAAAACTTGAATTGTTTTAACCATAACCGAACATTTGTTTGTGTATATATTCATTTGTCCGTGCTGTCAATTAAAATTTCCTCACTTAATTAGGAAACAAAACAAACCGAGTTGATCACAAATTGATCCAGATTTCTATCAGCATCACATCGATGTTGAATTTGCGTAACTTTTCTTTATCCAAATAATGTAAAATAATAAATGAAATCTCGATCGGCGATCACTGAAACGCAACTAGCCACTGTATACGCGAAAAAGCAATGTTGCCACTTTTTCTCATTAAACCATGTTCGAATCGTGGAAATTTTGCAAGATCACAGGGTTGCTTTTAGCATTTAGATTCTTAATGCAAAAATGGAGTTGCATTTAGGTGACGAATTTTGTATGGATAAATGTACATTTAGAGCTAAATGCGCGGAGCCCATAATGCTTTAATATTTATATTGTTCATATCAGGAGAATAAAATTGCTAGTGCAGCAAGAGCAAGTTCAATTTATTTCTGAAAAGCGATTTGCGTAATTTCAGTTGCAGTTACACCTTCCAATTTTTATTTTCGGAAGTGATTTCTACAAATCTGCATAAAGCACTTTCTGGCTGTTTACACGGGAATGTAGACTTTCGATTTCGCATATTGACAGCAAAATGCGTAGAAAAAGTGCTTGTATTGCCACATTTGATCGCACCTTTATTCAGATCGTGAAATCCTACTAATATTATAAATGTGAAAGTTTGTATGATGGTATGTCTGGATGTTTGAGAAACCATCACGCGGAAACGACTGACCGAATTTTCATGGAATTTTGTATGCAGATAGCTTATGGTCCACTTATGGTGACTGAACTGATTTGCATTAAATTTTGCACACAGATAGCTAGATTAGAAAATAGGCTACTTTTCTTAAGAGTTGCCACCTATTGAAAAAGTTTAATTTAATTAATACGCGGAAACGACGGAACGGAAATGCATAAAATTTTGCTTACTTACTTACTTTTCTTAAGAGTTTCCACCTGCTAAAAAAGTTTAATTAAATTGAGAAGTTCGATCAAATATTACAATACAGGGGTTAAACGACAAAAGTTTAAGAGAGCTTAATTTCGGAGATATTTTTGAAGAGGGTTGCCATCCTATCCTACTATTATTATAAAGGTGAATGTTTGTATTTTAGGGTGTTTGGATGTTTGGAGCTCCATCACGCGGAACGACTGAAGGGATTTGCATGGAATTTTGCACACAGATAGTTTATGACCTAGATTGGAAAATATGCTTCTTTTTTAAGAGTTGCCACTTGTTAGAAATGTTTAATCAAGTTAATAAATTCAATCAATTATTAAAAAACGGGTAACAAACGAAAAAAAGTTTAAGCAAGCTTATTTTCGAAGGTATTTTTGAAGAGGATCGCCTCCTGTTTGAAAATGAAATTTTGCACACATGGATTAAAAAATTGGCTACTTAACCGCTTTCACAATCACAAGCAAAATTTGGCACACTTACTACGAATTTCCCAAGGATGGTCTTAGACTGAAAATAATAGGAATTTTCATAATGCATACATAACTCTGGAAGTGTTTGTGGGAGAGTAATGGAGATATGTATGTGAAATCAAATTCATACTCATGGAAAAAAATGGGTGTGGCACCTCCCATACTAACTGAAACTTTCATATTGCATATCTCTTCAAATATTTGGGGTACAGTACTCAAGCTTGGTATGAATATATGTATGTATGTGAAATCAATCCCATACTCATGGAGAGTTATTGGACAAGGGGCCGTGGAAACTCCCATGCAAATTGATTTATTTTATGCTGCGTATATCTAGTGTTTATTGCAGAGGACTGGAACTTGGCACCTGGATAATAATAATAATATTCATTCGGTTTTCATCCTCCATTCCCGCCCATCCGCACGAGCGGCGCAGTCCGCATGACGAACGGAACCAGTATTTTCAATTTTTGCGCCGAGTCACGATAGGTAGGAGTTTGTTAAGTGTCGAGATATAAAACTGTTCAGCTACAGAACTAAATTCATCAGCTGATTTTATGTCTTTATGTTAATAATTCATTTATTGAGAGAGGAGAGTACCGCTTTCTTAATACTGAAAAGCGGATCTGATATATCAAACGTGCTGGAATGAGAGTAAAGCTCCTGGCATAAGCAACGGAGTGAGTCGTGCAACTCAAAATTAGTTTTACAAGCTTTCAGAAATAGGGGACAAAAGTGTATTGATACCCGGGAGGGAACATTAAGGCTAACTTCACCCAGAAGAAGCGGACTTTAAATTGAGCCTGTCAGTTATTTAACTATAAAAATTGTACCAAGCATTTGCCTGTGACTGGCCAGTGCAGGAAGATTAATAAATTTTAATCGGCTCGTATAAGGCGGAAAGTTATATTGAGACTAACTAATGTTGTAAACAGGGTTTTAGTGATATAAAGATCACAAAATTCACAAAATTCACAAATGCAAGTACACCTTTAGCCTTGTTGACTGTCATATTAATGTGAAGATTAAAATTAAGCTTAGGATCCATTGTGATACCAAGGTCCACAAAATTGTATACCTGCTCCAGGTTATGGTTACCTATTGTATAAGAAGAGGTATGAACAGTTCTTCGTGAGAAGCACATTACTTTACATTTCTTAAGATTTAGAGGCATAAGATTTACTTCACACCAGTAAGCCATGCTGTTTAAGTCTGATTGTGTTTGTGGAAGAATACTGGAACTTGGTATGGAGTTGTATTTATCAATTTCTCATGGAAAAAATGTGAGTTATTACAAAAATTAGGCATATCACCTCCCATATATACTAAAAATTTCTTAATACATATCTCTGGAAGGATAAAAAATCTCTGGAAGTATTTTAAATTTGTTATGGAGATCTATTTTATAAGTGCCGTATTGACAGAAAAAATTTAATTTAATGGAAATGGGGGATCCGGCTTCGGCCATATAAGCTAAAGCTCTCGGGCTGCTTACATAGTACCTCTTGAGGCATTTAGCTACAGTACTGAGAAGTGATATTTTATTAAAGACAGGTTACTAAATTTGAGTTGGAAATACAGTAAAACCAGCTTAAGTACCTTACGAAAAATGTCAGCTTTTTGAGGTACTTAGGCGGGTTGGGTACTTAAAAGAACCCGCTTAAGTACCTCGATGGGGGTACTTAACCGAACATAATTACTAATGCAGTTACATCTTCTTGTTAACTTACATAAATACTTGAATAACAACATTTAATGAAGTATACATAGTTTAAAACCAAAATCGTAGCATTATTTAAACACATAAACAAGTAAAGAAAAACTTTATAAAAAAAATATTTAGTGCAATGGTATATCATTTTTACGAGAATTAAATTGTATAAAAAGTCTAAGTTGTTGTTTGCCACTTATGTTCATTTAATACCATATAACCTAAGCTTAAGATTTTGTAGATTTAAAAAAAAAAATCATCATAATTTCAAACTTTTTTCTGAGACATGTTTTTTGAGTATACAGTTTTATAGCCCATTCAATTTTAGTGTAATAATGGGAAAGTTTCAAGTGGCTAAAAGTTACCGTTTATTTTTTAGAATTTTTTTACCGAAGGTGTGTAGCGCTGCTACTGAATTTGAAAATACGTAAATATTTTAAGGAATTTTAAAAGGGCACTTTAAAGGGGAAAATTATAAGTAAAATTGTAAATGGGGCACGAAAAATTTATGTACTTAGGCGGGTTGGGTAAATAAGCGGGGAAGTACTTAAGAGAGGGATTTTCTCTGATTATATTAAAAAATTCACGGTGTCCAAAGATGTTGGTTACTTAAGCGGGTTAGGTACTTAAGCGGGGGAGTACTTAAGCGGGTTTCACTGTATTAGCACCCGCCGTGGCACCTCCCAGAAGGTTACACGTTCACGCGGCGTATCCCTGGAACATTTTAAGGTAAGCTTAGAGGGATTGATATCTTTCGTATGCCAAACGTGCAGGCGAGATTTTATAATTTCATAGTTTTAAACGGCCTAAAGACCTTAACTCGCTTAAAAAATATAGAGCTAAAACAAAATGGGCACTTAACTAAAATATAACATCATTCAATGATTTTTCATATTTGTATAAAAACATGGGGTGAACCCCGCGGGTATAAGCTAGTGTACATATAAATTTGAAAAGGAAGGAATCTCACTTATTCATATCTTGTCATACAAACCGTGCAGCTACAGTGAGACTTTGCCATAAAATCTGCTTCCAAATATACATATGTACATATCGCACACCTAGATCTAAAGTGCGATTAACTGAAAAAAAATTGTGGGCGATTTTTTCGCATGAATCAGTTCATAGAACTTACATCCAATTAATGAAAATATTTTTTTCTTGATGATTATATACATTAACTAAAAAACTATTGTTATACCTGTTTTTGTATTGATTGCGTTGAATCTGTACATTCAACAAGCAGTTA